CCCTGCAGGAGCCCGGGCTCTTGGTTGTACACCATGTCAAAAGGGCAATTTGGACCTTCTCAACAGACTAAAGTGTTTTTCTGAAATGTTGAGCTTAGGAAACAAAAAGAAGCCTGAAGGGGTAAGACCTGGATGTAGGATGGATGGGGTTAAGGTTACCAACAAGATTCTCCTGGCTACCCTTGAAGAATGTGCCGGTACATGGTTGGGATAAAAAAATCCCTCAGTACAACTTTCTTGGCCTTTTTCTCACCAATTCACTTTTCAATCTTCTTAAACCTTCGGCCTAGTATTTCTCTGAGATTGTCCTGTGTCATTCAAGAAAATCTACCACGGTTTCCCCACTGGAATTCCAAGCTCAGCCAGGTTCCTTTTCTGACTTCCTGGGTCCCCAGCTATGGCAACCCAAGTGTCCAGTATATCCCTGTGGAAAGTTTTTTTTTATTGGACTCTTAAAAAATCGAACCTACTCTTAACAAGACTGAGATAAGCACTTTGCTGAGAGAACTTGCCTGTAGCCATTCATGAAGTGCAAAAATGTTTAAACACGGTCTGGAAGAAACTAGTGCCTGCATGAACTTGAACCCCTAGTAGCAATACTTTTGACGCGCCCTAGTATCTTAATTGTAAAGCACATGGCTCTCAAGGCACTTCTGGATGCGTTTGAAATGCCAACCTTTCATTAAATAGTTGAATGCTTAACTGGGTCACTCCAGGACTCCAATAAGAAGACACGAAGTCAGAAAGATCTTTATTCTCTAAAATCAAGTTTAGATAAGACTTAAAAAAAAAAATCCATGATTTGGATTTGGGATTAGGTTGTTTGTCAACTTGACTGAGCCAGGATCCTCAGTAGATTGAATTTAACATAATGTAAATACTTTCAGGCTGCTTGTGTAGCAAGACCACCTCTCACTCAGGGAACAGCCTGATTAAGTCTCCTTGGGGTGTGGCCTATGCGAAACCCACAAAAGAGATGGGGTAAAGGCCACTCCTCTTCCTTTTCCTTCCTTCTGGCCTGGATCCTGTGATATTGCCGGCCAATCCTGGAAGCTTATTTATGGCCTGCCTTAACATCTGATCTGTCAATCAATCCATCTCTGTATCCACCAGCTGTGATTTCTGGCTTTGTGCTCCTGCCTCCAGGTTCCTTTTCTGACTTCCTGGGTCCCCAGCTGTGGCAACCCAAGGATTAGGAAAGGCCTTCAGCTTTTCTTTTTTTTAAGCATGACTCATGGACTTAAACTGCACGGGTGTGTGGGCCATTTCTTAATATACATTTCTTTCTTGCTATAAACTTCTCTATTTATGTGTATCTGTGTGTCACTGGTCTTTGCTTCTCTTGAGAATGCAGCCTAACACGATTGAATTGTGTCCCCTCAAAAAATGTGTTACAAATCCAAAC